CAGCTCCAGCACATTCTACCAGCACCCCCCCCCCCCTCCCCACACACACACACACACTAAGGGGGTTATTCACAAAGCTGCCGAAGTGAATAACCCAGTGGAAGTGAACTGAGCCGAACACCGTTCGGCTATTCACTTCGGCTCAGTACGGCTACGCACAACACCTGAAATAAGCCGTACATCGGCTGCCTTCGCCTGCACTACGGTCAGCCGAAAAAAATCTGCAGGCCGTTCGCCCCGCTTCGGCTGACACTTCGGCTTAATCGTGCAGAAACAAATGCCTTCAGCTGGACCACCTTCGGCTGCTGTACGTGCATAGTATTGTGAATAGCCCGTACAGCAGCCTTTCGGTTCGAATGAACCGAAGGGCTTCAGCGACCGAAGAGAGCCGGAGGATCAGCCGAAGCTACGGCTGGATCCTTCGGCTCCTCTGTGAATAACCCTTTAAGTGCGTGTACCTCCAGCACCACCGCCCCCATCCTCAGGCAGCAAAAAGGATCGGGACAACCCTGACGGTGAGTATGACTGGGTGTTAGAACATTTAATTAAGAAAAAGGCCAGAGATTGATGAGGACTGGGAAGACAGCCATTGTGTGAGCAGAACCAAAATGTATCCTTCAACACTCAAGGAACCAGTGACAGCGCTATTATCAAAAGGTTGCTGGTAAAATGAAAGGTTGGCTGCTTTAAAGACTGCCACCAAGAAGATGGCTCCCTCAATTATGTAGGCATGGCAGGAAAACTTCAATTTAATGGTTATTATAAAGAACTTCTCCCGAGGCTTCCTGAGAATACACGGCTGATTAGAAGAGGTGCTCGTATTCTGTCATGACGCAGATCTGCGTTCCTCATGACAAGGTCGTATCCACCGCTTAAAACACCTTCAAGGTCAAATCAAGAGCTCAAATAAATTAGGTGATATTGATTGGCTGTGACATCCAGGAAAAGCTCTATACATGAATTATTCTGTTACGCCAGAAAAGAGCAGGGCGGGTACTGCTTTAAATGCATCTTCATTGATAATTATTCTTCTCTCAATGGGGGGCATGTCTACTTTTACAATGGGGCGACCTTCACACTAAATATTTCAATAATGATTTGCACATCAAAGTTCAGATTTGGATCTTTTTTTTCATGGATTTCAGCTCTATTTAATAAAACAGGGCCAGGAACTGGGTGCTAAGTACAAAGTGCAGTACCTGTTACAACCACATGTAGTGCTATGGAGTCAGTAAAATGGTGGCTGATTGACCCGCCAGAGGTTACATGTGAGCATGTAACAATCTCCAGTTTGGTCCTCCAAGGTTTCAGATAGCTGATTTACTGCTATGCTGTGAATACAGAGCAGAATCTCAGGTTACACACAGCTGTATAAGTCAGCTAAATGACCCAAAGGAGAGACACCCTTCCTCCTTTAATAGTAGAGATGGTACCAGCTAGCTCAAGAGGTGCATCTCTAGTGCTAGGCTTTCCTATTTGACTGCTATGCTGTGAATACAGACATAATAGCAAAATCTCAGGTTACACACACAGCTGAATAAGTCAGCTAAATGACCCAAAGGAGGGACACCCTTCCTTCTTTAATAGTAGAGATGGCACCATCTACATCAAGTGGTGCAGCGCTAGTGCTAGGCTTTCCTATTTGAGAGCATGGACAGCACCTACTAAAGAATGGAAACACCCTGTATAAAATGTTTATTTTTATAGAAAGTATAACAGAAATGATATAACGCATCAGTGTATAAACTTTCCAAGAACAAAAACTTCTATAATTGTATTTCTACTGCCTGATTGGAAAATAATCCCCCCTCCCCCTCTCCCCACACTTGAATATTGTGTACCAAATGCCTGCATTGTCCATCCAATCGCATTATTTCTTCTATTTCTACAGAACAAGTTAGGTGAGAATTGTTATTGAATTCTGCAGGCAACAAGAAACATTTCTCTTCCAGTCACTTCGATAAACAGCGCCGGTTAAGGAAAACGTTTCTCTAAGTGCGCCATATACACGGAGTGCGTAGAAAAGGTGGAATCTCGTTATTTTCCATAGAGGAAAGCTCGGTTTCAGCTATTTCTCTGCATCTCTCTCCTCTAGAAAAGCTCTGATCGGCTGATGGTAACAGTTTATCATGGCTGACCCTGGGGGACACTTTAATTCTGCCTCAAACCTTCACACTTTAATTGGATGGAGCATTGCCGTGCGGCCCTCAATCCTCTGGAGGGGCTATTCAGCTACATGTGGAGAAGGGGAAATGGAAGCAGAGACGGGGAGGCCCAGAGTGACACGTAATCCTCGGCTATAGTTCCTGGCTGGATGGAGTGTAGCTGACATCTGTCTGGGCTCCGCTCCGCTCAATCCATTCTTTACACTTAATGAATCCCTCTGCTACCTGTAGAGAGACATCTATTTCCCGTATGATTCCAGGATGCCGGAGTGCCACACATTGGAAGGAAAATTCCAATCGGAACACAAGATTAGGGATGGGAAATTTGTGTAAGTACAAGGCCATCGCTATAGTGAGGCAGCCTGAAGCTATTGCCTCAGGCAGCATCTCTTTGGGTCACTTGGGGGGGCAGCAGGCAGGGAGGCACAATGGTTGCAGTGTGCCAGCCGCCCCCTTTAAGGCCAGAGCTTCCCAGGTTGCTAAGAGCTGGCTGAGGTGATGTATAAGGGTCATACACATCTCCCCCCGCTTAGCTCTTAGCAACCCGGGAAGCTCTGGTCAGCATCCTGCCCAGCTCCTGGCAACCAATCATGTCAATGGTTGCCAGGAGCTTAGCGGGATGCTCTAGTTGGCATCCTGCCCCATCTCCTGGTAACCAGTGATATCGCTGAGCGGTGAGATGATGTAGAGGTCCCTGAGCTTGTTCAACAGAGAGGGAGAAGCAGCGCAAGGAGCCAGTCAGGTGTGCTGGAAAGAGTATGCTGATAGGAGGAGAGAACAGAGATGGGTTTATCAGTCTGCCGCTTCTCTTTTCACTATCCAGTCACAGGGTGGGGGTGGGGAGGAGACCTGTAAGTAGAAGTAAAATGCAGCAGAGAAAGATCAGGTCCCCTCCTGGTACGAGCACGGACAATTTACACAGAGCTTTACATACAGTACTGTCTCTGCTTATAATCTAAGGTCCCTACCTCACACTTAGGGCCAATTAACCTACCAGCATGTCTTTGCAGCGTGCACAAGCACAGGGAGAACATACAAACTCCATGCAGACAGTGTCCGGACTAGGATTTGAACTGAGGACCCCAGTGCTGCAAGGCAGCCATGCTAGCCATGAAGTCACTGTGCAGCCTGGTCAGGGGGCAGGTACAATAGATTCCATATATGTATAACAATACCCTTTCTGTGGACAATGCACACCATTTTTTAAGGATCTGTGCCTTTAAAAGTCGAGCACATGTAGAAGTATTCAAAGCATATACTGCAGGACCTGCGATTGGCCGTTCCTATTGCATAATCCGTCATGGAGGGGCGGGCACAACGACGGCATGCCTCCTACTGTCACCCAAAGATTTTAAAACATGGCCGGCACATACGGCAAACTATTTTGGGTGACTGGCTTAGTATGAGCTCATTTGCATATTACCTGATACCCCAGAATTCACAAATCGGCACACTTGCCTACCACAGGGTTCCCATCCTATTATCCTCACCACAGACAATGCAGTCTATGATGAGAATATATTTAACTATGTTTTACCTATACAAACTATGGGGTCAGTGTTTTTCCCCATAGTTCTCTTTGGGGTCACGGGGGGACACAAACTAACCTCCTCCCGTGACCCAAAGCTCAGTATATGGTGAGCTATTGCCCGCTATATGCTCAGAGTGCCACAGCCGGGACGGATCCCGACAATACTGTCGAGATCCACCCAGCTGGTTGATTGACAGCGGGCTCTGCCTATCTAGAGGCAGAGCCAGCTGTACCCGCCCCCTCTCTCGTTCGCTCCTCTAGTCAGCGCTGAAGGATCGGAGAGGGGAGGGGGGGAATCGCTGAGGGGAGCAATGACTGACAGTCACTTCTCTCTGCATGGAGATGATCGAGAAGTGAGCGAGCAACGGTATATAGATCTCCTTTAAGTAGAAGTCAGTAGTGAGCTGCTCTAGGGTCATGTTGCTTGCAGCCTATTCATTCTGTGTTTACCTCTCTAGAGCAAAGCACATTATCTGCAGTGTAGAAGTGATAAACGTTCTGTTTCTGACATTGATGTCGGACCTCCCTATGATTTGATGATACCATAATCGACTTACCCAAGACAAAGATTTTGTTTCCCCGCAGGAAAGTGGAGGCACCGTAACGTGGGGTGGGCATGCAGGGGAGTTGCTGCCAGCTGTCCATTGATGGCTCGTAGACTCTTACCAAGGCCTGAGGGGCGGTATCTGTGCCCATTCCTCCCAGGGCATATATCTTCCCTTCTGCAAGAGAACAAGACTTTGTAAATGATTGGCTGGAGATCAAACCCCGAACATTCAGATAAAGACACAGGCTCATCATGCCTCCCCTCCTGTGTCTCCTCCAGAAACTGAACCTAAGAGAGCGATATACTCCAAAAAAGACTCCTTATAATGCGTCATGCGACTTGCCAGAGGATATCAGAAAAGGGTAATGAAACAAAAACACACTGCTTGGGGTGGGGGTGCAGACTAGGACCCTTGCTTTCTGTGTGGAAGCAGTGGTCTCTCTGCAGAGGTCCAACATGCCCCCTGCTGAGTCAATGCTACAGCTCTTCAATCAGTAGGAAGCATTAGCTTTGATGATTGGAGAGCTCTGGTTTTGACTCAGGTGTATCAGACCTCTGCAGAGAGGCCACTGTTTCCAATTAGAAGGTCCATCTCTGCAACATGCTGGCAGGGGACAGGCTTTCCTACCCAGGCTGCGGCTGCTTTCTACAGTAATTCTTCCTGTGTCAGGATGCCGAGCAGTGCGGAGTGGTGAGGGCTGTGATCTGACACAGGGGGCGGAGCTCCCCCCCACACCTCCCGGCTCCGCCTCCTGTGTCAGAATAGAGAGTACTGATTGGAGGAGAATGCTCTGATCTGTCATAGGAGGCGGAGCTCTCCTCCCCCACAGCCCGCCCCCCTCTTATGACAGCTGATTCAGGATGGAGAACGGCTATACAAACACTCACCGATCAGCTGAACAGTGAGTGTTTGGAAATAAATGGATATAGTGCGCTTACTATGTCCCAGTTATGAATGAATGGGAAGTGATCTACATCACTTCCTGTCCATTCATGATTGTGGACATAGATACTACATCCGCAATGTATGAATGAACAGGAGCACGCAGCATAAAGGATTCCTGTGCATTCATAACAGGGGCTGCACAAAAAGAGACTACGGATTCTGTGCCAATCTCTTTTTCTATTTCAAAAGGGAAATATCAGGGGTCTATTTTGACCCCCAATATTTCCCCAAAGCCCCCCCAACAGTAAAGTAAAAGAAATGTAAAAAAAATTTAAAAATTATTAATTTTTCTTTTAAAAGATTGGAAAGAAAAACTGAATTTTCGGTTTCAGTTTTGGCCTGACAAATGTTTTATTTTCCGTTTCGGTCTCAAAATTCAATTTCGGTGCACCCCTAATTCCTTTTTTCATTATGTTGTGTAAATAGGAACACACAACAAACATATAGAGGGGTTTCCTCAAATTTGACTACAAAAGTGGAAATACACTTATAAGTGATACTTGAAATTGTTGCCAACTTTAAAAAGTATACACTGTATGCTCTATAATAATCTTGCGGCATATTTCTTAACATTTCTATGTCACCGCGGCTCCTCTAATACCGGAAAATTCCATCATAATGCCATGTATTTTCTGACACGTTTGCAGCAAAATAGGGGAGGGGCCAAAGAAGGATTAGCATTGGAACATTTTTATTTCCCGTTGTGCAATTGTAGCAAATGAAAATAACATTCAAATCAGCTTCTTGGCCCCGAACATCTTATTTAAACTGAATTAGAAAAATTGTGCAGGCAGTTGTAATTAATGTTTTTCTGCACCGTTAGCTCCTTGGACTACAAAGCTTCGCGGATAAAGCGGGAGGAGGAAGCTATTGTTTTATTCAGCTCATCCAGAAACTCCACACCCTGTGGGTATCACACACTCCAGTTAATCCGCCTCGGTTTTCTCATCCAGGTAAAAATCATAAAAATGATATTATTAG